GCTTACATATTTCAGGTCTATCTGGGGGAAGATTTGAGTCCCTAAAAGTCATATTGCCCAAATATGAGTGAAATTCAAGTTCAGCTGTGGAACCCTAGTTTCCTGGAATAGGTTTGTGCCTCTTTGTCCATCTATGTGAAGTGTGGGTGCTGGGAGACCCAGATTCGGGATGTTTTCTGTTACTGCCAAGGCTGTTGCTAAATGGATGTCCTTACCTCTGAAGAGAGAGATGATGGCTATGTACAGACCAGCATGTGACTTTATGGGTCTTGATCATAGACACACTGTTGGGGTTCTTATCTATCTTAGTGTAAACTGATTATTGAATCATCCATTTCAGAGCATTATTTGGTCTGGTTTTAGATAATAGGAGTCTCTCTGGTAGTGTTTTGGATGATTTCATTGCTTCGTGGGTCCACAGGGGTTGTTCTAAGAATCAGAAGTGTTGAAATGCAACTTCACTGACATGTTAGCAAAATTGGACAATTGTTAGACTGCCATATCAGTTATTTTGCTCACTTTGCTTTCTTGTTTAACAAACCCCAGGGGTAAGGCTTCTAACTCATAAATCTTTGGAAATCTCTATGGTAGAAATGTCTTGTGTTTATGCTGTGAATCCTGGGAAATTCAAAGCAATTTTCATATGGCGCCTTTCCATAAAGAGAGTAGGGTTTCCCATTTTCATAAAGTGATTTACAGAGTTTGAGACAATATGTAGTTTTTGCCTATCGAAGACAATCCTTAGAGAACTGAGAGGCCTTCGCCACAACAAGGTCCAGGGAAAGCTGTCCTTGTTATTTTCTGGTGGTAATGTGGGCAAGGCCATGCCTCCCAAGTGGGAGGTGGCAAGGTTGTCTGTCCATGCAGAGGATTTATGCTCCTTAGAGTTGGCCTTGACTGTGGTCAAAATTGTGTTCAGATTCTCCAGAAAAATAGAAAAGATCTGCTTTGAATTTCTTTATAAAATTATATCTAATATGTTTGTTGCAGTTCACAGATAACCTCAGAAGACCTAGTAGGAATAGATGTGGTATAGAGTAGACCAGTTAGTTCACCTCCATTTAGGGGAGGAATCCGTGATGTATGAGGGATGGTGTCTATGTACATGTGGGATGCAGCAAATCAGGTTTACCTAGGTTTTCTCACAGGGAAGAGAAACATTGGGAAGACTGAACATTCAGCACAGTTTGAGACAAGCATGATTAGAGTAGGAACTCTTAAACTAGGCTTCATGGACCAGCGTGTTGTCAAAATATGGGTTTCAAGAGGTCACTGACACACCAGAAACTACAGCTGAAAGTTTTTTAGGTCTGGGTTGTCATCTATTAAGTTCTTCCCCTGAAAGGATGACATTTTAAGACCAGAGGTGTAATTTTTAGTTTAATTAAATGGAGCCTTTTTCGTTTCCATTTCTTCCTGCTCTTTTACGATGAGTTCCTTAATCCAGGTTAATGGCTACTTACCCTGGAGTTCATGGGCCCTGCAATGGATGTATTTTCCTGACACTATGTATAAAGTTTTATGTGAGATGGGTTTATGTGTGTGTGTGTGAGAGAGAGAGTAAGAGAGAGAGAAGAGAGGGTTCATACAAACATTAAGTTCTCAAATGCTCTATGACTCCCAAGGACTTACAAAGGAACCACTGGATTTAGAGACTGATCATTGTTCCTTCTTTTGGGATGCATCCCCTTTAGCTCCAGTAGCCTTCTCAGCTCACATGGCGTCGGTTCCTTATTCCTTACGAAGCCCATACACCAAGCTATTACCTGTATTTTTATGCATAAATTTGACATAGGATTGAGGGTCAACTCTTTAAACTACTCTTTGGGTTTCCAAGCTGGAAATTGTTGGACACCATTTGTATTATTTCTCCATGGGATATTTCTTTGCTGTAGTCTGCCTCAGCTCTGATTTTTAGACCATGATTGCTGAACAGTCCAATCATGAAAAACTTTAGCAGGATGTCCTTAGGTTTGCAACTGTAGTCTATACTGAGCTATAATTGATCCTACAGAGGATTTTTCTTTTCTTTTCTTTTTTCAGCCTGGGAGAAATTAGGCAACTTAGCCAGGATTTCTTTGAGGTATTCTGGGTATTTCTCTCCACATTTCTGGGAGCTTTTATACCTTCATTCTTTGGTTGGTTGTTTTGGTTGTTCTTTATCTTCCCTTCAGCAAGATTTGCTCAAGTGGAGGAAGGATAGAAGAGGAAGGTTGCTGAGGGATTAGGTGAGCGGGTGCTCACAGGACTCTATGTTCCTGCCAAATGATCTTTTTGAAAAAGTATTGGGTACTTTTAATTTCCCAATTGTAATGTGAATTCTTTTTTGCCAAATAGCTTTTGGGGCTTTGCCTGGACCCCGTGTGCCAGAGTCAGAGATTCATCTTGGCCAGACACTGCCACATATTGAGGAGGGAGCCGTTTCCAGGAAAGCTCAGAGCTGTGGCTCCTAGAAATCATTCCTTGATTGTGTGAGCCAGGCCTCAACACTTTTGACCATCTGGAAAATTTTGGACATGAGCACCAATATCTGTCTCATACATCTTTTTCTTATTTCATAAGCTTTAAAAAAATTTCTTGTTCATTTGAGATATATACTTATTGGATATGCAAAACTTTTGCATCCACGAGCTCTAAGAATTGCATGCCTGAGAGCTGCAAAGAAAATCATCAGAAAATGAGTTGATGTGCCCTCTGCAGGTATACGTTGCTATTCTTTGTGGTTTGATGGTGCTCAATAAACAGTTTGGGAATGAATAGATAGGGAAACCTTTTACGGACACATGCTGTTAGTGAAACTCAGAGCATTGCTTTGCAGTTTTCAGATAGTCTTGAACGAGTCATGGTTTCATCCTCCTTTCTTCACTTTCCACAGCACGTGCTTTCTGTAGCATGCATCTCTCTGTCCAGTTAGTGCCACAGTTTGACGCTGTGCCTCTGCTCTCTTTCTACAGCCTCTCTTGTTTTCAGTGGCTATCAACCTGTGTACTTCCTGATGCATGCAGCATCTCCAAAGGGCGCTGTGAGGTACAGTCTATACAACCAAGGAACACGTTATTTTGCTGTAGCTGTACTGACGTCACTGTTCATTTAGTCCTTTTAGCACTGTGCTGATGCCAAATATAAAAATGATCCTAGCTCTTTGTAGAGATAACTCATGATGGGTTGAGTATTGCTCATGTTTTTGTTATTTTTCTGCTGCTTAGCTAGCTAAATCCCTTTGAACCTATTAATATCTTCAGCCTTTTTTACCTTTTAGGTAACATAAATTTATGAATTTCCTATGATAAATCAGTCAATGTTTGTGTGTGCAATATTAAGCATAGTATTAAATGTAAGACATATCTTTGTCGACAGTCTATTTTGGCAATTAAGATATGCACACTCAATAGGTAATGAACGAGAGGCTATTATATACTACAGCACAAATCATTCATAGAATAAAGTACTTTTGTGGCATAGAAAAGCAGAGAATTAAAACATTCTATTGGCACTTACTGAGTGCCTACCATGCACTAAAGCATGGATTTTTAAAGATAACTAAAGTTTAGCGCCTTACTTATCAATGACCTGAGGGTATACTGTAATAAGTGACATTGGTCATAAGCAGTCTCTCTACAAAAAAAGGTAGGAATATGTTGAGATCAAAGTGGGCCAGCAACCACTGGGAAAAGTAAAGTTGTCCAGCTTTTAGAGCTATATCATTGATGAATATGTAGGCTCAGATCATAGATCTAGACCTGTGGTCCCCAACCCCTGGGCCGTGGCCAGATACTGGTCCATAGTCTGTTAGGAAATGGGCCACACCTCACCGCCTGAGTTCTGCACCCACCCCTGTGACCTCCCAATCCCACCCTACCCCTGTCTGTGGAAAAACTGTCTTCCATGAAACCAGTCCCTGGTGAGAAAAAGGTTGGGGACCACTGATCTGGACCATTTGATCCTTATGAGGATTGTGGCTGAGAGGTGCTATTATTCCCAATGTGTCACTCGCTCTGTATCTTTCCAGCCTAAGTAAGTCCTTTTGTCTTTTCCCTCCCTTATTACTTTATGGTGATCTTTGGCAAATTCACCCTGTTTAAATATATGATTCTTGGGTCTTACCTCACCCACCGTACAGAAAGCCAGTGTGGGACAGATTTACAGGAAAGCATCTAGGCAGGGTTGCTTTGTGTGTCCTTTTGCTCTCCTACGTTCATGTCGGCCGACCTTGGCTTGAGTGTTCCAAGAGGGCATTGTTCAGTCCACTTTTTCCATCTCCACTCACAGGCGCCTTTTGGTGCTGCTAATGATGGCAGCGATAACCTGCAGTAGTCCTTGATCTACTGTCACAAATGGCCACAGTTTTCCTATCCGGCTCATAGTTTTCTTCCCTGTTTTTTTTCTTTTTCTTTTTTTTTTGGACAGTTTTTATTCTGTGCATTCTCTGTGCTTCATTTCTTTGGAAAAGCCCTTCAAGCAAATAGCTGGGATGATGAAAGCACTGGCAGCTACCCTTGGCAGCCCCTTTCTCTTAGCTTTCGGCACTTTTCTTTGGCAGAACACGTTTAACTTTATAGAGCTTGGAGCTTACCTGAAGGAGAAGAAAGTTATTTCTCCGGAGATTCAGAGGGATGACCCACCCCCAGGGGCTTCTGGTCTCCAATTTTAAGCTTAGTCATTCGGCTTAAAGGAAAAGGCAGTCCTGAGGGAAGGTAACTTTTATTCCACACTTGCAAATTTGGGGGGAAAAATGTGTTCTGTCCATTTGTGTTCTTTCACTGGGAGCTAAATCATGTTCTGGTTGAGATTAGTGTAGTTTGAACCATAGCCGTTTTGTAGAAAATGGTCAAATATTGGCCAAATCATCTAGTTCAACCTAATGTATCTTATTCATAGAATCTGAACTAGCTTATGGCTTGTTTCTGTTAAGTTGTGAAAAAGTATTCTAGATGCTTCTCTGAGTGATTTTCATGGAAAGCCAATGCTAAGATTTCTCTCCCCTTTTTGTTGCGTCCTAGGTCACTTTGCACCTGAACCCCATCTCCTCAGTCCACATTCACCACAAGCCTGTCGTGTTTCTTCTCAACTCCCCGCAGCCCCTGCTCTGGCGTCTGAAGACGGAGAGACTTGCCACTGGTGTCTCTAGACTTTTCTTGGTAAGCGTTTAAAATCCTCCCAAACTGATCCTTAGCATAAAGGTATAGTGGCCCTAGAACTTTGCAAGGAGAGACTTGCTTTCATCGAAATGATAGCAGTGTCCAAAGAGTGCACATTTGGAGCATGCACATAGCGGTGTTTGGATGGCATAGGTAAACATTCACAGAAATCAAACACGACCCACGTGTCTTCCTCTGTGGATGGAGAGTCAGGTCTAGCTTGCATGTTAGAGCAGGGCCTGTAGTCATACTCTGTGTGGCCTGAGCTTTGGTTTCAGCTCTGAGACTGTGGCATCATGAGCACTGTAAATATTGTAAATAGCCACTGGGTGTGTGGTCTCTGACCACAAAATAAATATGCACAAACCCATTCTATTTGTATATAACATAGTCCTAATTTCTGATATGAGGATCTGTTTATTGAGAAAGTGACACAGTGAACTCCAAAATGAAATCATTTGTATTTTATTTTAAAGAAGCTGGAACCCAGCTCTTGTGGAAAGATCCAAATATTACCTACTATTTGTAAATCATGTCCTTTTGAGTTTGCCAGAACATTCAAGTTTGCTAGTTGTGGAGAAATAGATGGGTTGTTTGGATGGAATATTTTTGGTATGATATCATGTCTGATGATGAGCAACACTGCAACTTGGTAGCAATAACTCATATTGTCTATTGCGAGGGCTACATGCTAATAATGTCCTCTGAACTACAGAGCCTGTGGCTTTTAAACCTCTTGTGCCCACAGCATCCAAAACAAGTAGAGTCCTCAGTTAATATTTTTCCTCTTGCCTAATAAATAAACTTTGCCTGATTAATGACTCTTAATCCAGATCTGTAGTTTCTTGTCACTTGTATTTAAAGAGTAGTTTTAAAAGCTCAAATATACCCATTGAATAAAGTAAGAATCTATAGTCATTACAGTTAATGAGTAGATAAATAAATGAGTAAAAAAGGAAACGGGGAAATCTTTTTATAGTAGAATGTCAATTAATAATATGGAAGGAATAATGGAGTTAGAAAATCATTTCATAACCATGATAGTAAAAGTTGATCAGGCAAGAATTATCAACAGATGCTAAATCTAGCAGAGGTGGAGGGAATTTGAGGAACAGTATATTTAGATATTCTCAAAATAGCTTTTCCACAAATTACTTACTAATTAGCAAAGAAAAAAATAGCAACTAGATAGAGCAGAGAAATACCCAAGTGATCAAAATTCACGTTACCAATATGGGGCAGATGGACGTTTCATGCCTGTAAATGAGAAACAGCGTCACTTATGTAGCAATCTAGCCAGAAATGTGTGTCACCTGAATCTAATCGTAAGGAAACACTGGACAAAACCAAGCGAACAACAATCTGTAAAATAACTGGCCTGTACTCTTCGAAAATGTCAGTGATGAAGACAGTGAAGGGCTGGGGAGCCGTTCCAGATTAAAGGAGACTAAAAAGACACGTGAGATCCGAGCCGCAGCCTGTTTGGTCGGGGTGGGCAGCAGCTACAAAGGACGTTATGGGGAAAGTGGACGAAAGTAGAATTGAGCCTGTAGATTAAAGTATTGTACCAATGTCGTATTTCTTGACTTTGATAATTATACCATAGTTATCTAAGTGAACATCCTTCTTCTCAGGAAATACAGTAAATATACTTAAGTGTTGAGGGCTAAAGTGTCAAATAATTCAGGAAAAAATACAATGTACGGAGAGAATAATAAGCAAATGTGGCAAGATGTTAAAAACTGAGAGTCCTTTGTACTGCCAGCTTTGCTGCACACTTGAAATAATTTCAAAATAAAACATTTAAAAACTCAAAAGGTACATTTTTATAAGGTGGGTGTTACTAATAAATTATAGCCTTTTCTGAGAATTGAAAATTACCTCTACATTAAAAAGGCCCAAAATTGGTAGTTACTTAGTTGTTTTTATTACTACTAGCACATTTATTTAGCCTTAGTACATTCCAGGTATTGCACTAAATGCTCTAATATTTTATCTCCTTTAATTCTCACAATAACCCTAGACAATGGTGTATTTACCTCTCCTTATAGATACGGAACTAAGACTTAAGTAGTGGCCCAAATCACAGGGCTAGTTACTGGCAGAGCTGAGACTCAAACCCAGATAGGATTTACTCTACACCTGTTATGCTAAACTGGCTCCCTTCATACTCATAATCATTGTCAGTCTCCTCTCATTAAAGTTATTTGTGTTAGTAAGACAAATGACTCAGATCATAAGGTCATATGCACATCAGCCCTCATGCTATAGAGCTGTACTGTTTAATACTGTAAGAACTAGCTATGCATGGCTATTTAAATTAACCAAAATTTAAAATTCAGTTTCTCAGTCATGCTGAGCCACATTTCAGGTGCTCAGTAGCTACATGGAGCTGGTGATTATCACAGTAGACCAGTTATGGAGTGGTTATGAGCAAAGGCTTTTGCCTATCCTGGTTTGAATCCAAGTAGTAACCTTGGGCAAATACAATTTCTCTAAGCCTGATTTTTCTCACTTGTAATATGGGAATAATAATAGCCCCTACACCATAGGGTTGTTATCTTGATTACATTCTATTGCAGCCAGGTGCGGTGGCTCATGCCTATAATCCCAGCTACTCAGGAGGCTGAGGTGGGAGGATCGCTTGAGCCCAGGAATTTGGTGCTGCAGTGAGCTGTGATCATGCTACCGCATCCCAGCCTGGGTAACACAGCAAGATCCCTATCTCAAAAACAAACAAACAAACAAAAAATAGATTATATATAAAATGTTTTGTTCAGTGCCTGATAAAATCCTAGACACTATGTTACCATTGCTGCTGTTATTTATTATTAGTCATAGTAAAGAGCACTTGGGAAGGATGTCGAATTTACATTAGTAATTATAAAATATCTAGCTTGGTTGGCCCCAGATTGAAAGGAATTCCTGTTTCTCTGGTCCAGATGAAAAGTGTGGGCCACATATGTCACAATTGTACTTACCACTTTCTGAATCCCTTCTTCAATCTGCCATTCCACGGCTTTTAACGGAAGGTATCTTATTCCTAGTTATTATTTATTTGCTTTAATTTTGTTTAAGATCTGTAAGAACTGCTTCTTGTCCATCAGTTGAAGACACACCAACAATGAAAAAAAGGAGACAGCTTTAGTAAACAAATCGACATTGACCCTATTTGGATTAATCCCATGTAAGGAGATTACGGATCAAGTGATGAACCTAAAACTGCCAACGTGGGGGAGGCAGCACTGGGAGAAGTCGAGGACTTAAATTCCAGGACACCTGAATTCTGCTTTGTTGTCCAGCAGGCTTCCTTTAGGGAAAATGGTTTTCCCCCCTCTGCACATTTCTTCATGGCCTGGAAGAGATGGTGGAACATCTGTTGTTCATTCAGGTTCGCACATCAGTAGATAACGAGTGATGCAAGTTCTCTCACAACCTGGGCAGCCTCTCCCAAGGCAGGTGCTTCCCTTCCTCTCTGTGGCCTGAAATGGATTTCGGCGTCTGCTCATCCGCTTGACAGCCTTTGCAACAGAGGGACCAGAGATGGATAGAAAACCAGTACTCTATCCTGTTTATCGCTTATTGTTAGGAGTGAAAGTTGGCGGGGGGTTGTGGGGGGGTGTAAAATAACTAAATTATTTTACGTAAAGTATTTCATTAAACACTTTAGTGGAATCTCTGGAAGCTGATTCCCCAAGGTTACCCAGAGAGCTTAGAGAAGCTGAGGAGAAAGAGTTGGGTCTGCTGACTCTCCAGTCCAAGATGCAGGCGTCTTTACTTTTTCCCTGATATGCTGCCGAAGGATTTGCATTACTGTCTGAAAACTGTCTTTACTTTCTAGGTAGAGTTATCATACTTGAACAGTTCATTTTTAAAAAAAAAAAGTAGAATGATGAGAAAAATTCACTTAATGGCATCTACTCATTTGTCAGGGTGACCTTTTAATTTAAATTGACATGTCTGCTTTGTTGTAACTGCCCACATTAAAAAAGGAAAACTTTCACAATCAGTTAGGAGGGCCTACTCAGAACATCTCTGAGCCACGCACAAGGGTGATTAAAAGACATGATACTTTAATAGTGTCTCATAAAGGCATCTGTCTTTTTCTGTCAAATCATTTCAGTGTCCTCATGATTCCATAGCCCAGGCAAGAGGGAGCGCGTCAGGCAGGGAGAAAGTGTTATGATTTAGTTTTCTGTGCCGGTGCAGTTCTTTTATCTGGTGGTGGTTGTTACCTAGGAAATGGGAGTGGGATGAAGAATGATTGTTGCAGGCTGGGTTTCAGGTAGTGGATCTTTGAGAGTGAGTCACACACATGTGCACACATGATGAAGTTGCCATAGCGTTATCGTTTGCCTTGGGCAGGATGTATGGCCCAAATGATAGTGAGTAGGTTAAAGTTGTCTCTCGATGCAATCAGAAATGAAAATATTTATAATAATCCTACCTTCTCAGTGTATTGTGTTGAGACTATAAATAAAAATATATTAGAAGCTTCATGTAAACCTATTTTATTTATGAAAGCATTTCTACACTAAAGAAAAAAGTAGGGTATCTCAACTGGGCAATAGATGTCTGAACTTTCATCCTGAGTTTACTGAAAAAGATTGGTAAGAGCCACAATTTTAAATTATCTTTAAATTTGAATAGACATTTCTCTAGAGAAAAGACACAAATGGCCAAAAAGCACATGAAAAGATGCTCAATATTATTAGTTATTAGAGAATTGCTAATCAAAACTGCAATGAGATGCCACTTCACACTCATTAGGATGGCCATAATAGGTAGAGAACAAGTGTTGATGGGGATATAGGGAACTTAGAACATTCATATGTTGCTGATGAGAATGTAAAACCATTCTTTGGGAAATAACTAGGCAAAACACGTCCACAAAAACTTGTCCACAAATGTTCAAAGCAGCATTATTCATAATAGCCAAAATGTGGAAACAACCCAAATGTTCATCACCTAATGATTGGATCAAAAAAGCATTGTATCCA